TATTTTTTACCATTAAATTGTCACGGATATGAGAGGTCCCGCAATTTAGCAATTTTGCGATTCATTAACTTGTACAGCCATTAAATGTTTGAATTGTTTTTGAGAATGTACACAAAAAAAAAATGTTCTTGAGTCAAGTTTATAATTTTGAAGAACAATATTCTTGATTTAAGTAGAAAAATTCTTGATTTAAAAAAATTTTACTTCACAGTAAAAAATTTTGTGTTTAAAATTTTTGTATTAAATATTTAATACTTTTATATGTAAATTTAACATTTATTGTGTTAAATTAACACAAAATTTTTTACTGTGTTGATTCAATAATTTTCTCGTGAATCAATTTTAGTTTAAAAAATTTTTAATAATATTTAATTTAAAAAATATGAAGTAAATAATTATTTTATTTGTTTTTAAATTATAAGCAGAGTTTAATAAACAAATGTAACTTTAGGAAGTTAACAACTAATTCGATCATACTCCAGAGTAACTATAATTTCATCGCTATCACTGATTTAAAGGGGATAGAATAAAGTTTTCTTGTTACATGAAATTTCCCCAGAGATTAAAAAAAATTATTATTTTTATGTAAAATTTTTAAAAGACATTTTGATTCATACTATAAATTTTTAGGGTAATAAATTGAAAATTTACTGGATTTTTCTCTGCTAGTTTTCTTTTTTCAATAAAAAGACTTTTAAATGAAATTACAAAAAAAGATCATTTAAATTAAATTTTGTTTCAAGTTGGAACGAATATTCTAGTTAAAATAAAATAAAATAAAAGCCCGGCATCAGAGAAACATTGACGCTTAAATAAGTGAATAAAAAGTGAAAAAAAAAAAAAGCGGCAATAGACTAAAATGATTGGAAGCCCTGACCCCGATTACACAAAATGTCAACACTCCTGTCAATGTAGCATACCAGTTAGCGACGTGTGTTGGAGGCGATTCCTTGCGTGGTATAGTGCGAATCCGAGCATTAATATTATACAAGTAGCCGTCAGCTATCATGCCACTACTCACCGATTCACCGATTCACCGAGTTTAAAGCATCTCTCTTGAATATATAGATACATAGATGTATACATTGTGGGATCTTGCGGTGTTTGATGTGTAACTGTATGTATGTTTATATTATGCATGTAGATTGTGGTGTCAAGCTCTAGCTGAACTAAGACGGTGTGTACATTGTATGTTGCATATTGTGTATTGTACATTGCATATATACATGTTATCGGGCCATGAGGCAATACTAGGAAGCCAGTTTCTCAATTCCCGGATAGGAGGCTAAAGATACTCCACATCAATAACATTCTATCTCTTTATATCTCTTTATTTTTAATAAAATATTAATTACAGAGAATGTTTAGGATTTTATTTAATAAATTCATCTTCAGCCTTCAGTGTTACTATTATTATTGTTACTATTACTATTATATGAATATGACGGTATGACGTACTTGGAAAAGTTGAGCGAACTGGTAACCTTAAGTCTATTTTTTGTTTGAGCAGACGTAGACTTGTAAGGTATAGATGTTTTGATAATAAAATTTTTTTAGAGGAATTCTTTATAATTATTTTAATTATTTATAGCAATAAATGATTAATTATGAAAATTAATTTTAAAAGACTGGTTCTTTTGTTTTGCGTCATAACTAATGACGAGAATAAGTACCTGTTATTAGTTTACATTGTAGTTTAAACTAGTTATTTTCAATTATAATTATCAGTACAGATAATTTACAGGAAAGTTTTATTGTTCATTGAAATTTCAATTTTCATTAGTGTGATTTTTTTTATTGCTATTTATTGTTGTTATTATCTATATTATTGAGAGAATAAGCCAAATTTTGTGGTTAGTGTATTTATATGATAAATATTCATATCATTCTCACCAATAGTCAATTTATCATGATAAGTATTTAGGCTGCATTCGAAAAGGCTCCATCTTTAGATACATCATTAATAAATGACCTGGTATCTCATGAACGATTGATATTTTTGAAGATATAAGCTCATCCCGATGTTACATTCATCGAGACCTTTCATTTAAGTACCCATATCAATTTTTCATAAATTTATATATATTATATATATGTATATATGAAAAATATATGAAAATGCATGTGGGTACTCAAATGAAAGCTCTTGATGAGTGTACATCGGAATGAACATATATAAATATATAAAAAATTGATGTGGGTACTCAAATGAAAGCTCTTGATGAGTGTAACATCGGAATGAACTTATATCTTTAAAAATGTCAATAGTTAAGAAAGTACAGTGCAATTTAATATGATTAAGAAAAGACCTTGTATCTTGTGAAATATTGATATTTTTAAAGATATAAGCTCATCTTGATGTTACACTCATCGAGACCTTTCATTTAAGTACCCACATCATTTTTTCATATATTTATATATATTATATATATGTATATATGAAAAATATATGAAAATACATGTGGGTACTCAAATGAAAGCTCTTGATGAGTGTATCATCGGAATGAACTTATATCTTTAAAAATGTCAATAGTTAAAACAGTACAGTGTAATTTAACAAAAGTCAATATTTAATAAAGCAAAATTTCATTGATTTATAGTTTACAAGTTACGGCAGTCACATAGTGACTGCAAGGTTGCTTGTTAATTTTTTTTAGTAAAATATTTTATACTTTTTAAATAAACTAAAATATTTTTTTAACAATAATAACTATTATTATTATTGAAAAAGAAATTTGAACTCAATTTTTTTTTAAGTTCATAAAATAGACATTTGTCAGTCTAAATTTTAATAATAAAAGACTTAGATCAAAGCAATATTGAAGTGACAAATGTTTGAGTCCCTAGTGACATAGGGTAGAGATCGGGAAGTCAGAATTTATTTCAGGGGTCCGACATGGGGTCTTGGGGCTATGAGTCCAAGATTTATGGCAACAAAAAGGGTCAAGGGAGCTAGAGCAGTAACAACTAACAAGTGCAAGAGACAGGGGTAAATCTCCGCGGGAGGGTCCAAATAGTTCTACCGTTTTTTGGCTACTAAACCAAATAATATCCACATCTACAACTACAAACATCGGATTCTGTTTGGCCGAAAATGGTTAACTTTCTATTTCCTTCGTAAAAATCAACACTGAATTGAAAAAAAATATTACTTATTCAAGATGAAAAGTCAGCGGTATAGTTATTAGAGTGTTAAGAAGGAAAAATTAAATAAGTTATTATCTTAATAAATGCAGTGAAAATAAGTGTTATATGCACGTAGATGTATGAAATATAAAATATAATATATTAGTGATTGATGCGAGGATCCGGTGAGATTTGTCACGGGCTTGTAAACACAGCGAAAGTGATACACGCCCCAAAAACAAGTAAAGTATCCATAAACTACCTACGAATTCATTGCGTGTTAGTATTAGATCTCAAGTTGATGCTATATGTAGCTTTTTTTACTTCTAATTTATTATTATTTTCCTTTTATAACACACATATATATTAGTACAGAATGTCTATATCTCTATAAATCTAGAAAAAGTATTTCAATGTAAAATTAACTTGACTATTAAGCTAAAAAAGGAGTATAATCATTGAATCAGAATTTTTATTTCCACAACATTTTCATTCCTTTTTTTTATTCATTGCCTTTAAATACTATTTCCCCATTTGGTTTAATAGATATTTATGTATTAAAAACAGTGTCTCTCCCGACAAATGAGTTTAATTCGACGATTTAAATTGCGACGATTTAAATTTATGAGGAAAAACTCGGCTAATTTGTTATTAATTTTATGCACAAAAAAAATTAACTTGAAAGAAGAAAATAATTTTAAAGGACTATCAATTTGATTTTAATAGAAAAATTCTTAAAATAAGAAATTTTTCTTGGTTTAAGAAAGTTTTACTTAATTCAAGAATTTTTCGTCTTGATTCAAGAAAATTAAATTCTTAAAAATTATTTTCTTGGTTCAAGAATTTTTCTCTTGAATCGAATTAATTTTTTTGTCTGTGTACTCATTATAATCTGGATTATCTAGCTACTATCTGAAATTTTTTTTCACTGAGTATAATCTGGGATGATATCCAGTGTCATCTTATTCTTTCCGTGTTTGTTCAGTAAAAAAAATATTTATAATTACAATTACAATGGCTAATTTCAAAAACAATGAATCACGAGATAAACGAGACAAAAGGTTGATATTGCTGATTAAAATTTAAATATATAAAGAAAAAGTGACAGGATTTTAATTGATTGCATTGCCCAAACGGAATTATAATTTCTCTATACGTGTTACTAAACAATAAATATTCATGTGATGATATATAGAATACTGGGCAATTTGAAATAGATTTGATAGCAAAATATGAATAATAATGCATATCAATACCAATAATAGTACCATAAATTATATAAGTATTCGGTAGATAATAAAATGACATAAAGACACGTACAAGTAAAGACTAAATTGCGCGATCAAAGTTACTTTACGTATAAATAATTTGTGTATATGTGTGTATGGATATATAAGTACGTAATGTTACGAAATGATTGTAAATTGTTGAAATTGGGCCACGCATAAACATGATGCGTAGAACGCGTGCGCCGTTTACCTTTACTCAAGTAATTTTTAAGTATGAGAATGGCTACGCAATTATTGCTAACGCGGATGCCCGTTTGCAATTTGTACGGGCCTTGGCCGGTTTCCCTTTCAGTATTGCTAGTTACATACCGGTTTGTATTACTGATCTGATCACGACATCACAGACACAGCCAGATATCATTCATATGCATATGCACACGCATGGGTCTTTCGATATGTAGATGGTGATGGAGATGGAAACGAGTTTATAATAAACAACATCGAAAACATCCTCGTCCTCGTATGCTAATTTCGTATCAAGTGTGTCCGATCCGGTTTACCGGTTCAGAGATTTCTGTGGTACCGATTATAAGTGGTCGGTAAGGACGTGGTCGCTATGATCGAGTGAAGATTAATTTGGTTTGTTTATATTTGATCGGTAAGGCCCACAGTTGGTAAAGAAAATAGTTCAGGGTAATATATGGCAATAAATTGCGGGTAAAAAAGAGTCCTACCTTTGCTGCCCTCGGTGATGATCTCTTCAGACTTGATCTCTGCTCGTGCGGCGTAGGATGTAGAAGACACTGGTGATAATTGAATAGACGGAGCGGCTAATTTTTCTGAAATTCAAAACACATGGATTTAAAGGATCATTAATACCTAGTTCGATAGACAAATTGTAAACGAGTACGCACCGGCTAGAAGAGGATTCGCTGCGGCGATGTTATACCTCTGGCGCCTACACGGGGTTATTGTACTGAGCGGTGTGGTTGTTGAAGTCGGTTGGCTCGCTTCCGCCAAATCGGCTTGTAATTCTCGTAAAAATGTATCCAAGGTATCAAATGGCTCCTCGCTAACACTTGATACACCTTCCCCGTCTTCTGAAGGCACACTGGAGGCTGTTGGCGCACCCACGAAAGCACTCAGTTCCATTGCTGAAAATTCAACTGATTGTGCTGCGTTATTTTCCTGGAAAATAAAGTTATTTTAGTCAATTATCTCTTTTATCTTTAGGTTGTAATTTATTAATATATGAATCTCAATAATTTGGACGAAGTTATTTATCAAGTAATATTTATTTTGAGCTTTAACTTCATTAGTCAAAATTTCGACGGTGTAATTAGCAATTAGCAATTAGGGTGATTTTTTAACATTTTGATGGAGCAAAAGTCCAATTATAAATTATTTGAATGATTCAAACGAAAAATATTATACCTTTATTGGATATTAATGATATCATAATGGTTTTTTAAAGTGATAATAAATTTTTAACTAATTGTTTTTTTCATACAAATGTTCATTAATTTTTGAATAAATTATCATATCAAATTTTTGGATTTAAAATATAGCTTTTGATTTTAAAAAATTAATTTAAATCTTGAATGTAACTTTAAATAAATTACATTTTTTTTTTCCTATAAAATTTATAAGTCATCTAATTAACTTTCGTTCAAATTTCTAAGAATTTCATCATTACTTTAATGAAAATAAGAGTTTGTGATTTAAAATAATAAATTGAACTTTTTTTGATTTTATCAACTTTTATAAAAGTTACACTATAAAAAAAAATATTTTTTACTGCATATTAATACAAAATTTTTAATTTCACTTTCATGAAAATAAATTTAATTGTCAATAAATAAAAAGTTTAAAATAAATTTATCAAGTAATAAAAATACTTAATCTCATAAAAATACAAACTTGTAAACATTGAGTTAAATCAACCATTTTGCCATCGTTGTCAGGGCACCATAGCAATTCGTCGTCTATGAAGGGCATGTTTGATGATTCCTCCTTGGGTACCAGGCTGGAGGTTAGCGAAAAAGTCTGTGATATAGGGACCGGCATCGAGACCCGTGCCGGGCGGCGGGGCCTTTTTAGCCACCCCCGCGCCTGCTAACATCCAAAACCACTGGCAAGTCTCTCGCACCTGTCAGCTGGATCCCAGCTTCCCTCTGGAATAAATAAATTCTATTTAATGTAAAATAATACAATTATAATCAAATTATAAAAAATTAATATTTCCACACTGAAAAAAAAAATTAACTTGATTCGAGAGAAAAATTCTTGACCCAAAAAAAATAAAGAAAAATTTATCAGTTAAAGAATTTTTCTACTTAAATCGAGAAAATTAAATTCTTCAAAATTATGTACTTGATTCAAGAAAATTTTATTTTCTGTGCATAATCATAAACAACTATTACATAAATATAAATTTACAAGACTTAATATATTATAGTTTATTAATATATAAAATAATTAGACAGCTTAAGCTTGTTTAACAGCAAGTTAAGTTTCTCTCTTTAACTATTCGTTACACGTTATTCGGTGAAGCTATTTCATTACATGAACTTAGAATTATCAGAGTAAAAAATGGTAAATTGTAAATAGTAAATTACAAATTGCAAGCCCCGTACTTGAAGTGATGCCAGTAAAGTGTAAGTAGTCAGAGCCAATAGTTAGTTAAAGATTGAGTGATTATACATAATAGACAACAATAACGGGTAAATGTGCAAGCATAAGCTAAGTATAAGTATATATAAGTAAACCCGACATTTCCATGAAAGTGAAAACTTTCTTTCAGTAGGTTGTTTCACTTCCTGCGCGCGTAATCTTACTCTCTTGCTATCTAGTCGATGCTTGGTGCATTTATGCCCAGTAAACAGAACTTCTATATATTTTATTTGCTAGTTTTTAAACTGAATCGTAGTTGTGGTAGTAGTTAATGTTGTTGCTGTTGTATTTATGTAATAGCCAACCAAGAAAGAAAGTTTCTACTTCTCAAAGGTGAATATCCTTTCTCGTTTGTGTTTGTGTAGTTAACTGTGAAGTTTTATTACTATCACTGCTATTAATGCAGGTACTCTGATTTTAATAATAAAATTTATGTTTTATTTTGTAAAATGCTATTTCAAATAAACGAAAGTACCTAAAATAAAAATTACATTTTATTCAACATTCATCCATCATTTCTTCTCATATTTTAATTCATAAAATATAATATCTGTTATTCATTCAACAGGTTTGCGCCAGTTTTTAAAAATGGAGAACGCCGGTGACTCGCCCGACGAATCTGTGGATCCAACATCTGAATTATTCGACCCCCTTAAAGCTCTGTACTCGGACAAAACCAAAGTACCTGTAAAAAAAGCTCCTGTTTATGATAATATTACTAAATTTGAATCTGTGTTGAAGGGGATTGCTGTAAGTATTTACGTTTTTCAATCAAGTTAATTTTTTTCAATTATTTTATTATTGTTTTTCATTTTCAGCCGACTTGGATAGGCGACGGTAGAAAAAAAGGAAACAGAGGTTCAGCTGCGGGTGAGTTTTTTGAGTTATACATTATTTTAATGGAATTGTTTGTTAATTTAAGATGACAACAAATTAAAACGTGTTTACAACACATGTGAGTTTACGTTACGAGACAGACAGGTTAGAGTGCCAGGTCTGCTTTTTTGTCAACAGGTGGCGACTCAGTGGCCGTTCGGTTTAAGTTCGAAGCTTGCCTTCCAATGGTCAGGCGAGATTCTGATGACATTAGCAGTCACTTAATCATTTTTTTTTAACAATTTTGTTCCGAAAAATTATTTTTTAAAAAATTTCATTTTTTATTTTTCTTAATTTCTACAAGTTAATTTTTTTTTTTGCCATTATTTGTTACAAAAATTCATAAAATTTATTAAATTAAATTTTGAGTTAACTAAAATATTTTAAAATGTTATTTTTATTAAAAACTTTTTTTTAATTGTGAGTATAAATACTCAAAATTTTATAAACGCTTTTAAATTCAGAAAATTTTTATAAATAAAATTTTAATTTGGAATACATAAAAAAAATCAAATTTAATTGAATAAATAATTAGTAACTTTTGGATGAATTTATTATTCTAATGTTTACATATTTTATTATGTAAATAACAGTTTCGTAATTATGTTTATTATTATCTGAAGTATTGAACTTGATAAGTTTGAATCTTTATACACTTTTGTATTGAATAATTGATTGATAAGAAGTTATTTTCAATAACATAATGCTTTTGATTTTTTTTATTCAATTTTTAAAATTTTAAGTATATTCTAAAAAATTCTAACACAAAAATTAAATTAAAAAAAAAAATTTATTAAATTAAAATTAATTTATTGAATTAAAATTTTTTAAATAAATTTTTAACATTAAATAAAACTAAAAAATTATAAAAATTACTAATTTAAAATAATAAAAAATAATTACCTAAAAAGAAAAACATTTATGAATTATTAATGCGAAATTTTATTTAATTTTTCTGATATTAAAATTAGCAAACATCTGAGAATTATTTTTTAATTCATGTTCATAATTTTTTGAAGTGAAATTAAAAAAAAAAATTCTAAAAATGATCAGATGCGTCTGGCATAATTTCATCCAAAAACTCGGTAAGATTTCATACTTTCGAATATTTACTTAATTCCGAATCTGAGAGCATGCAATTGCCGGCAACCCAAATTTAAAAAATTAATTCCACTTCTCGGATCATAAAAGTAAAATCGGAAGAAAGTTTAAGCGAGTTTTGGTTGATAACAAAATAAAATATGTATATAAGCAAAAGATTAATAGAATACTTGTAATGGAATAAAAGTTGCTAATTTAATTAATATGTGTGGCAATGAATCTTTTAAATCGGGAATGAATGACTCACGAGTACCGCTATCTCGATCTTACAGCACCCCCTTGTACCTCGCTCTCTCCACCAGGTTTCACGGCCTCTTACACGGACAAAACTCGATATTGACTCTCATCCAGATATTAGCTGGCTCAAGTTACTATCTAATGAGCAACCATCAAGGTCATAATATAATCATAATATATATAGTATATATCTAACCGTACAAATAACAAAACTGTATAAATATAATAACTGATAAAAAGTCACCTACTATTACATCCATATACAATACTTGCGCGGAATTAAAGTCCTGACCTACAGAAAATTCAAATTTTATTTAATTCAAATAAAATCAAAGCCGCGTGACTCTAAAGCCTAGCAATAGTAAATAAAATACTGTTAACTGTTATCGGCGAATTATTTAACGATTCCGGTTAAATGTTTGATGATATAGTTCTTTAAATGACCCCGAATAATGATTTATCTATTGGCCGGCGGCCAATTGCACGCGCCGCTCGATAAATCATGGATCCCTGACCCAGTGTAGTTTTATATTTACGTGATGCATCCGTCAGTGTAAAAGTACATGTGTGAAAGTCACGCACATGTGTGTACATTTATCTTCATCACTCTTTCTCTTGTTGTTTTATTATTTTTATATTCATTAGAGTGTAGTTATTGAATTATCTTTCTCCTTTTTCTTCTTTGCTGCTTCTTCTTTACTTCTGGTACGTACTTCACGCAGACAAGATGTAATCCCAGTAGACTGTTCCGAGCATTGAACACGTAATTGGTGAAAGCACCATTTTTTAGAATATTCTTTTACTTTTTACTCTAATTCCGACTAAAATATTCAAGTTTTGTTAAAATTGATATTTTTTTTTAGAAAATTAAGTTTCCTATTACAAGGATTTTTTTATAGTTAAAAATACTTGTTAATATTTAATAAAACATTTATTAGAGACCACTCTTTCAGTTTTTAACAAATATTTCTTAGTATATAAAAAGATTTATTAATATTTAATAAATGAATATTAGATTTATCAAATGCAAACAAATTTTAAATACTAAGAAATATTTGTTCAATACTAAAAAGTGGTCTCTAATAAATGATATTAAAATTAGCCGACGTTTAACAATTTTAGATTTTTTTTTTTAATTAAATTAGAACAAAAAAAACATTTTTACAAAATTGCACATATAATTTTTAAAACTTTCTAAATTTTTTCAATAAAAAAAAATTCTAAAAATTTTTTGATTTTTTTTTAATAATTAAATTAAAACAAAAAAATATTTTTTAAAAATTGCACTTAGAGTTTTTCAAGTTTTTTTACAAATGAAACTTTTTTTTTATTTTTTTGTAATAATTTTATCAATAAAAAAAAATTTTTAAAAGTCGGCTAACTTAATTTTCATAAACTTTATTGTCATTTTTAATAAATTATTTTTTAACTAATAACAAATATTTTTTGATACAAATAAATTTTTCTAGACAAAATAGACAAGGTTTCTTTTTTAAAAAGAGTTTAATTTTTTACAAAAAAAAAAAAACCCTTATAATTTTGTCGTATTATTAATATTTTACTTAAAATATTGATCCTAAAATTATAAAATATAAAATTTGATATTTAAAATAATTTTTTTCCAAACATTACAAAAAATTTATAATGAACCAAACTAAAAGTTTCCCATGCACCGGATCCCCAAACCAGTAATTTTTCCCTTACACAAAACCTCCAGAACAAGAGGCCTGACCGACAGAAATAAAGGGTCGGGTGCTTGTAGATTCGCAATGAGAATAACAGCAGGGTGGGGTAGGGACGTGGGGTGCACGTAGCCGGTATATGTACCGAGTGCAGCACTTGTTGCGTCGGCCGTCGACCTCAGTTCGGCTCGCATCTCTCTACTTAACTCAGTAGTACTCTCCACACTCGCCATTTAGTTTTCGCTTTTGGTCCTATTTCTTAAATCTTAAACTTTAAAATAAAATTACCTATCAACCAGCTAACTAAATGAACAATATCAATTTTTCGTCTATAATTAAAAATTACTTGACTAAAATTTTTCAGGCTTGCGCTAAATAACAAAATTTGCTCCCTAAATAAAATAACTGAGTAATGCGTTTTAAGAGCTGTTGCATAATTTAATTTACGTTCATTTTATTTTAGCTACACTACACATGGAGCCGAGGTTTCCGGTACAGTAGCGCTCGGCAGAATATACCACCGCGAATACTTATCCCGTATGTGTATATGTACACTAAGTGATCCAATTCCATGGATCTTAGTGTGCTGTACTCACGTTAGTCACTGACCTATCCTAATAATATATACTACATACTCAAAATTACTATTTGCATTGTTATTATTATTGGTATTATTAATATTACTATTTTAATCATAATTGTTATTTTTTTTTATCTTATCTCGGAACTAATTAATTTATTCGGATAGTTATAAATTTTTATTTTTATTATTATTTTATAAAAAAAGTTCTTATCAATTATTCTATACTTATTATTTAGTCAGAATTTTAATTCTAAACTTCTAAAAGATTTAGACGAAATAAAAAACATTAATTATCAAATTTTAGAATCAAAATTTTGAGTAAACTATTAAAGGTATAAAAAAATGACTAAGAATTTTTTTTTTCTAAAAAATTTAACTACAAAAAATATTTTTATCAATTTTTCATGGAAATGAAGTTAGCCGACATTTCAAAATTTTTTCAATAAAAAATTTCAATTAAAAAAAAATTTTTACATGTAAAAAACTTGAAAAATTATAAGTGCAATTTTCTATAAATATTTTTTTAGTTGTATATTAATTAATAAAAAAAATTAAAAATTTTTAGACGTCTGCTAACATCAGTGTCATAATTTTTCAATATCTCTTATTATTTAATAACAATATGAATTCAATAATAATATATTTTGAAATTAAAAATAGTTATCAAAATTTAGAACTAAAAATATCAATGATACGAAAAAATTATTAATGTCCCCCTATCTCTTATCATTCAAGTAAAATTCAAACTCTAAAGTTATAAAATATTTTTAAATCAAAATTCTGAAAAAAATATTTAAGTTACAAAAAATGTGCCCGAAATATTTTTTGTAAAGAATTTTCTACAACAAAAAGTTTATCAAAAGTTCACACAATCTTAATATATGATCTAAAAAAAAACTTGAATTTCCTCCAAAAGTTCTTACGTATTATTTTTCTACCATTACTCTTTGTTTTTCTCATACTTCCCATCCCGCAGCTCCTCTAGATGCGATAACGCGGCCTCGCTAACATTTGTGCTGTATAAAATAAACCGTTAGGTTTGCACACGCAAACACACACGCTCGGCGATAAAAATGTAAAAAAATTTTCATTAAAAATAAAATTTTCTTCCTCAATTTGAATTGCAAATTGGAAATGAGCGATCGATTGAAATAAAAAGTATGACCCATGATGGATAAATCTCGCGATAAATTCATAATAAATCTCTCGGTAAATAATGCATCATTGATACCAATAAAGTTTAAGACTTAAAGACTTAAATAAATAAGTAAGTCGGAGTTTGCGTCGGGGGGGAAGTAGTGGTCAGGTGAATAGCGATTAGATCGAATGAATCCCTCGAATTTATCTCCTACCAGCAGATGATCCCCAAGTTGAGTCGCGCTGGGTTCAACGTCCTGCCGGGCAGCGCACCCGAGAGGCAAGCGAGCGCACGAGCAAGCAACCAAGCGACCGCACCAGCCCACATATATATCTATATACTATGTACTATATACATACACAATATACATTATACCTTTACTGACTTTGCTCACTACTCGGTACTCTGTACTTGTGTTGCTGTACTGACTGGAGTTGAAGTGAGCTAGCCGTAGGTACTGTTACTTTCGCGACAATATGGCCCTTTGGATTTACACAAGCGTTATTGCGCTAATATAAGACTTTATGAATATAAATATTGACAAAAAAAAATTTGTTTTGGCAGATGGTGTATTTTAGTAATTATTTATAATTGCTTAATATTTTTTTTTAATATGTGAATTTTTTTTTTAAATTTGTTAAAATTGAAATTTTTATTAAAAATTAATTATTAGAGGCTAAAAGAATTTAAATTGAAAAAAATTATTTTTCTATTTAAAAAATTAGATTTGTTAATTAAGTTTTAAGTCATGAAATTTATGTTGAAAATTAATTGAAGTAAAAAAAATACTTTGATGAATATTACCCTAGTCAAAATTTTGACATTTACAGAAGTTAAGTACCAAAGTGAAACTTGATATAAATTCATGAATTAATTATTATTACTTTAATTTCTTTCAATTTATATATTCTCAACAATTTTGTAATTTTTATAATCATTTAGATTTTTGATCAAAAGGAAAATTATCTCCATGATTAATAAAAATAAATTATATTTTTAACAATTGTTAATTTCTAAAATATAAACATAAGCTCCTAAAATTGTCATGGATCAATTAAAAAAAAAATATGAAAATAAAATTAATTTTGAGACATTATTCTAACGAATTATCCTCAAAATTTCATTACTATATATTTTTAATTATCTTTTCTATAAATTACTAGTTTATAAATAGATTTCGAGTTCATTTTTAATAAAGTTTCAGCTAACGCAAATATCACGGAAAAAATAACAATTGAAGAATTACAGTTTATGTAATAATAATAATAAAAGTTCCGAAGAAAAAATTGAAAAAATTATAATTTAAAACAATATTTCTATAAAATAAAATTCTAAGTATTGAATTTTATACTTTTTAAATATATTTTTTACAGAGTTTATAAAAACTGTAATTTTCCAATTTTTTTGTTCAAGGCACTCAGTTTTAAACTAAAAATAAGAGCAATAAATCAAAAGTGAAATTACTATTTTTTTGTTACACAGATTAAGTAAAACAATTATAATTGATTCTAAAGAATTTTATCATCTTAATCAAGCAAAAAAGTTCTTTAATTACTTGAAAATTTTTACTTAATTCAATGATTTTTTGCTCCATTTCTCAAAGTAATTTTCTTGGTTCAATAATTTTTCTCTTAAATCAATTCTTTTTTTTTTTTAACATAAAAAATTGTATTTAAGAAATGTCTGCATATTGTTTTAATTTTAAAGTTAAACTGAACCACAAAAAGTGAAACTTTGATTAATGCAGAAGCTCGCTCCGTTCGCTATGCGAATGAATAAAAAAAAAAAAACTATTTTGTTTGTAAATTTTGCTGGTAATGGTAACAGCAAAGAGCATTCTTGTATATTATGTCTATATATATATATATATATATATATATATAGACGTGTACTATAATAAGTAAGTCGGTTAAATGTATATCATTAAATGTTTCGATAATGACGAGACTAGATTGCAATGAAGTTCTTCCTCAGCTACTGCTCTCATGTCACGTAGACACACGGTACGTAGTACGTAAAACTCTTGCTCTCGTCTTCGCCATTTGGATCAGGCGATAGTGAAAGTTTGTTACCTTGTCTCTCTTTGCTCTTCACTCTTTCCAGTAGAAAGAAATACAGGCGTATCATATAAAAGTGTACCCACTTCTTGCTTGTTCTATTGAGCGCCCCCCGGGAGTTGTATTATTGGTGGATTGTCGAATGCCAGAAAGAAAGAAAGGCGAAAAATAACTAAACCGCGGTTTATTACTAGAGGGAGAAAATCCTGTACAAGTAATAGTAATGCAGCTGTTTACGTTATCTTTATCGAACTTTGCCTAGTCGCGTGCGCTCCTCTCCGTCAGCACAACCAGCCTCTGTACTACTTGTCTGGTGTACTGGCTTTATATTAGCAGGATGAAAGTTATCGGAGAAAGCCAATTGACACTGTATATCACTATACTAGTATGTACTCCACACTCTAGACTCTACGGTTAGGTGTATGTACAATGTACATGTACTTATACTTGATTTGCTCCCGAGGGGCTTGTATTTCTTTACAGCATATTTATTATACCTCTCGACCGCTCGCGCCTGATCCTGATCGTACAGATAATTATTTTTTAACCATCGACAATAAAATTATTTCATTTTTATGGCCAATATAAAATAACTGTTTTGATTTTAATTATTATTAATGCGTACTTTTACTCTCTGTTAATTGACCGGCTGAAAAATTATCGATAATTAGTCTTTTTGTTAAATTTTTAATTAAAATTATTTATATATATTTTTTTAAGGAAAAAAACCGGTATTTTAATTTTTCTATCACTTTAAATAGAAAAATTGAATCACAATTTTTTTATAAAATTTTTATTATTAAAAAAAGTTTTAATTCAATTTTTTTATATTTTAAATTTGAAAGTTTCAATAAAAATAATTAAAATGTTTCTTTATAAATTAATTAAAAGCTTAAAAAAATAAATTAAATCGTTATCAATAAAATTATCATCCATAAAATTTTGAGTCACAAAAAATTCGTGACTGAATAATAAAAAAAATTTGTCTAAATTGTTACTTGAAATTTATCAATTTTGAATAAAAAATTTTTGTTTATAATTTAAATTTCATTTTGATAAAAATTGCACATTAATATTAAATAATTATTTAGTTAGTTACTAAAAATAGTTTTTTTACATTAAAAATTCTCTCAGAAGTTTTGATAAAATATTAAAAAAAAAATTAGTGTAAAAAAGTTTGAAAAATTTTTTTACGCTAGCTTCTTATTTTTTTAATTAATTTATAACTAGAATTTTTAAAATTGATTTATAACTTGAAATAAATTAAATTAAATTGCCTTACAGTAAAAAAAGTGAAAGAGGAGGAAGAAGAAAAGGAATACGATGCTTTCAAGAGTGGCAGAAACGTTTTATCACGTATGGCAAATACGATTGGGCCTCTACAACTTATTTACACGTGTATGGAGACAAAGTCACGAGTAAAGGCAAGTAACATATAACACTACATAACATAAACATGGTATTTAACTAAAAAATAACAATATAACGTGCGACTTGTTTCAAAGCGCCGACAAATTATCTATACATTAAATAATCTCCTTCGTTCTATATTTAAAGCTTCGGCAAATAAAAATATTATGTGCATGTGTTTGTATTGGCAGCTTTTTATTGTCGCAATAATATAAAAGTGACCATTTTATCGGCGAAATAAGTATTAATAATAATACAAGCTTTTGCGCAAAAATTTACGTGACATAGTTTTTTAAAACGTAAACCTTTTTCCGCGGCGGGCGATTACTCTAGGGTCAACATTCGTAGCCATGACGACAGTCTCTACTCACCCTAAGCTAGAATGAGAATCCCATCGAATGCGAAGAGTAGTATTATAATATATATATCTTAGAGCTATCTCCGATGCTTTGATACTTTATTATATTTTTTCCGGTGAATCGAGTTGCAAAATTTATCACCCACTGTTAAGGTCACATTTCAAGTTCAAAATGTATTACATCAGTTTGCTCATCTTATATTCGTATAAGACGGAATAAAATTATTACTGATGATGATGATCATCATCATCATCATCGTGATCGTTGTCATAGTCGTAAAAATTGAGATTTTATAGATATAGTTTATGTGGATAAAAATGAGCTAAGCATATTTTGTATTTTAAAAAACAAATTGATGGAAGATGAGATGTAATAACAAATAACGATTTGTAGTATCATTTACTATTTGCTATATTATGTATCCCCGATACGATAAATTTTTCGGCCCCTATAACCCACATATTGCATGTCCGGACGACTAATCATCATGACATTACATCGCTTATATGGCCTTGTAGGCCTTCAAGGCCATCTCGTTCATACTGATGCCTGCTTGCCTGCTGCTTGCAGTCACTACGAGGTCATATTCTATTAAACGTTAATGAAAATAAATAAATAAATAATATTTTTTCTAATAATAATAATTAAAAAAATAATAATAGTAGTAGTAGTAATAATTTTATAAGAATTTCAATTTTAGTTACTATTATTATTATTATTATTATTATTATTATTATTATTATTATTATTATTATTATTATTATTAAATCTTTAGCTATTTGGTTAAAAAAAATCAAAATAAATATTAAAAAATTTGTATTTATAGTACGATATGATCAAATATTGAATAACAAGAGACAAATAGTAAATAGATACACAAGTATTCAATTAATGTTAGATACTCTTGAATAGCTTTCAGTAGAACAAAAAAAAATTTTAATAGTTGGGTTTTAATCCAAAAAATAATTATTGCACTGAAAAAAAATTAACGAATCAAAAGAATAATTCTCGAATTAATTGAAATTTACTTAAACTTAGTTTAAGAATTTTTCTACTCAAATCAAAAAGATGAAATTCTTCAAAATTATTTACTTGATTCGAATAAATTTTTTTTTTGTGTGGATTAACACCAAACTGTTTTTCAAATCATATTAGATTAATTAAAGATAAACATTCTTGTAATACAAGACAAAAAATCAATTACAAATAGACACGACAAGAAATACTGCTGAAAAATCCATCACATATTTAGGACACAATTTATACAACTAATTACCTGATTATAGCAAAACTGAAGCCAGAATTAATATATTTAAAAAAAGTAATAAAGAATTATATTAAGAGCAATATTACATTTTAGGTTTAGATTATCGGACAAACTATCTAATTATAAAAATTAGACTAATTATGCAATGATAAAAAATTTAGCTTGACTCAAGAGCAAGAATCTTGAACCAAGAATACATTTTGAAGAAAATGAATTTTTTTAGCCAAGAGGAAAAATTCTTGAGTCTAGAGGAAAAATTTTTGAGTCAAGAAGATTTTCTTGGTTTAAGAATTTTTCTTTTTTCTTCAAAAAATTTATTATTATTGTTTTATAAGTGCGTTGATTTAAAATTTTTGAAAATGAATACTGATCATTAAGAAAAAAAAAAATGGAATCATTACCAATTAAAAAAACAAATCTAGATAACAAATAAAATATAATAAAAAATTAATTGAAATAAATACATGTTTGAATAATTATTCCCGACGCGTATCGTATGTAAAATCAGTGCAAACATCGACAGGACCTTGTTTTGTACATTATTTCCGGGTATCACCTTTTGATTTAATTTTATCTCTATCACTATATATTACGTTTTTCTCTTTTGCGTAAACGCAGTGACAATAAAGAACCATTAAGCTTACGTCTCAAGGTTATCAAACAATTATTGTTAACACTTACTGTTAGTTATTAGTTATTAGTCATTATTATTATTATATTAAAAATAATATAACAATCAGCAATTATTTATTATAAAGATAACAAATAATTTTTAAAAATAATAAACTATTAAATTGTTATTTATTTAATGACATTGAATTTTTAAATTGTTTCCCAATACGGAAACATTTGGATGTGATTGAGAAATAAGTATTGTCCTCGGCTAATTAAATATTTACATTAACTTCATGAACACACGATAATAAACGGTAAATTACGAAGGTTTAATGATAACTTTAATCATTTATTATATATTATATTAATAATTAATAATTAATAATTGTTGTTTTAATTTTTAGATCTACACAAGAAGCGCGAGGGGTATCAGAGGATTCATCGAAGCTTATGTCGCGGCTTTTGATAAACATTGGAACTTAGCTCTCGAAGATTGTTACGAAACTTGGACACGGAAAGTCAAAAGAAAAGCACCAATTTTAGGTAAATATTTTTAACTACAAAAACATTAAATAAATTATAATTTTCAATAGCTAAATTTCAAAACTAAAAATATCTTTTATTTTTATATTTTACCTTTAATATATATCACGTCATTTATCTGCTGAACTAATACAATAAATCATCTAAAAAATATAAGTATTTTTTTTTTAACAAATTAGTTCTTATAAACTACAGCAAAAAATTTTTCTGTCACGTGTCTCTTATTTTTAAACTCTAAATCTATTTTTAATTAAATTTAAATTCTTTTTCTGTCGTGTTAATTTTTAAAAAATTCTAAACTTGGAAAATTGTAAGATTGCTCGGAAAAACACGATAATTTATTCAGCTAGAATTTATTTTTATCCAAGTAAAATATTGGAATTCTCTAAATAACTCATCAGTTTAAATAGAAAATGATCGATGTTATAAAAAAAATTTATTTATTGTCAGAAGAATTTATTTTTAAAGATTAAACCTTAAAAAATTTTTGAAAAAAATCTATTTATAATTTAAAAAATAATTATCAAATTTAAATACAGAAAATTTGCGAAATAAATGAATGAAAAATAATTTTAAATAATTTCTTTTCATATATACATAGCTTCAAGTGTAAAAATACTAGTGTAACTATTTTAAAAATAGCAAACACATATTTTACTGTCAAAATTTTTTATCCCGCTTTAATATTTTTTTTTTTTGGCAGGAATGAGAAAGTAAATAAAAAAAAAAAATAACTGGAGTGAAATAAATTAAAATAAAATATTTTTCTAGAGTTTGCAATTTATCTAAAGTTCTTATCATTAAAATATATATCGTTAAATATTTGTTCAAGTGCAACCTTGAATGTTGAACTTTAAATAAATATGAATACACTCACGTATATGCTTAAATAATTGAGAATGACAATAATTAATAGTAATTACGATGATATCATCAACTAAGCGAGATAGTACGCTGTAATTGTTATTATAATAATATATAATATATATTATAGAAAAAAATTAAAATTATCACTTAACTAGCGACAGATAATGATAATTCCCGTACTTTTTTCTTACGTAAACATTAGCCGGTAAAAAATATAGAAATTGAATAAAACAAAAAGGCAAATAAGAGTGAAAAAGAAGAATTGGAGCACGAGAATGACAGAGGGTAGAAGAAATCCGAGGGCACGTGGGCTGCGATCGAACGTAATAAACACAGACACATACGTGAATAGTCAAGGCCGGTCTTTGCTCCAAACTCCGAGCTTTGACCTTTTAGGTGTATCGAATTATTATATCACACCCTCGTCCATTTTCCGGTCGCACTTTTTTTAGTCGGTTGACGTAACACTAAAAATGTCATTTTTTGCAATGGTTCGACTAATGACGGCTTTTATTAGAATAATTAAACGTTGAAGGACTGTTTGGTTACTTACGAATTACTTATCTTATCGGTGTAAATATTTGAGACGATATTTTTATTTATTAAAATTTGAGAAAAAAAATTTCATATATAAGTTATTTAATTTGAAACTTCAATTCTAATTAAGCTATTGAAAATACTAAAAAATAATAAAAAAATTTTTTTGAGGAAAATTTAATTCTCTACAAAGAATGGCTGCCCAATTTTAAAACACAGTAACTCCAAAATTTGTATATCTGATTTTTTTTAATATTGCTGCATTTCTTACCTTAATTTCAAGCATTTTTTCTTAAAAATATTTATTTTCAAGTATTTTATATTCATAAATCAAATTTTTTATCAATTAGGCGGATAAACTTTTTTTTAATAAGAAAAATTTTTAAAAATCTTAAAATGATCAATTACTATGTTTTGAAATTGGGCAGCCGAGAAGGTCCTTATTAATTTTGCCCTATCTCTTATCATTTAGCCCAAATTTGAGTTCTAAAGTTATAAAATATTTCAAAGTCAAAAATACTAGTTCAAATTTTAGAATCAAAATTTTAAGAATAATATTAAAGATACAAAAAATCAAAAGAGACCTCGTTTATAGAAAATTTAATCTTTTACAAAAAAGGTTATTGTAAATTCCTCGGTACACAGTAAAAAATTTTGCGTAATTGCGTCAAATAACTTAGTGAAATATTTAACACTTTTGTGTGTAAATTTAACATTTATTTTGTTAAATCAACAGAAAAAAGTGTTAAATTTTTAACACAAAATTTTTTACTATGTATATCTTATCATTTCGTCAAAATTTGAATTTTTAATAAAGGAGATGCCCAAAAATTTTTAACCAAAATATTCGATAAAAAAATTGAACCGAAAATATTTTCTCGCAACGAAAATACTTTTTGTTGTCCTAGTAACGCACTGACTTATCGTCCAGCTCTGGAAGGAGGTTGGGAGGTCATCGATATAAATTTGGGGTTGATAGAAGCCAACGACCTTGAGGCGTGCCAAAGACTATCCGGTGAAGTAGAGAATGGATCGATTGTCGTACACGTGTCTGATATGGAGCCTCTATATTACTAGCGTATATTGTATATCGTGCAGTCTTTTGGCCCTAAACGGCATGAAACCTCTCAAGGTTCCTTTTCGCCTCTACTTAACTTTTTTTATTACTTTTTCCCTTCCATTCTAGATTCTGCTCCTTCCATCCTATTCTTCTCATATTAAACATATCCATACAATATACGTATACATAACATGTACATATATATTTCGCGACAGAGACCACCGGATAGGATAGGAGTTTAACCCCTCGAATACGCAGCTTGTTTTTCTCTGTGTCAATGAACTGCTGAAATTTTAAAGTGCCTCTTCTATCTTCTATCTATTATATGCTTCTACTTTACTCTACTGCCGTTTTTTTTCCCTAGTATACGTTTATATATTTTATATTACGAAACGTTCACCCAAAAATGCTCACCTAATTACACAAAAAATTTTTAGTATTTATTTTACAATTACAACATTAAATTCTCGACCCATAAATTAATAAAAAATATTATTAAATAAAAATAAATATTGTATTATTAAATTGAAGAGTTATTCAACTAAGATATCTTTTTGTTACTTATTGCAGGTATCCCGTCAGTAAAATCGGAAGAAGTTAACGAGAACGTGCCAAAGATGATAGTGAAGACGTCTAACGGAAAGACAGAGACCTTGGAGAGACACGTGCCGCAGATGATGCTACGGGGAGAGCAAGTTGTCATGATCGTAAAAATTAATTGACCCACATAATTATTTTGTTATTACCCAATTAATCTAAACTGCACGCTGTGTTTGTTTTGTTTATGTATTTATATATTTTTTAAACTTTTCATTTCTAAATAATATTAAGTTTTATAAGGACAAATTGGCAGATCGGATTACTCATTGCGTAATTTCTGTTGTAATTTAAATTACATTTTTTTAAATGTTCCGTAATAATCTTTTTAATGGAAAAAATTACTGATTTTTCTTAAAATACAATAAGCTTTGTAAAAACCTAAAGTTTTTTTTTATTTTATTGAAAAGTATTAATTTTACAAAGGATAAGAAAAATTTTATAGATAAGAAAAAAAATTATTAGAACCTTTTTTGTAGAAAATTCAATTTCCTAAAAAAAAGATCTCATGATTTTTTCATATCTTTAATATTTTAATCAATAATTTGATTTCAAACTTACTAACTTATATTTTTTATTTCTAAATATATTATAGATTTTAAATTAAAATTTAGATGAAATGATAAGAGATAAAAATTGATAAAAACCATTTTTATAAAGAATTTAATTTTTTGAAAAAACTATTGTTATGATTTTTTCATATCTTCAATATTCCGCTCAGTAATTCAACTTAAAAATTACTCTAAAAAATTTGAAATATTTTTATTTTTAATAAATGTTTACTCAAATTTGTTGCAAAAATTTAACAAATCAACTAATATAAAATACTACACTTATAGAAGGATTTCTTAGCACTTAAGAAGATTTCTTTGTATTTAAGAAATCATTTCTTAGTATTTAAAAAATATTTCTTAGTATTTAAGAAATATTTTTTAAATATTAAGAAATGATGTTTAAGAAATGATTTCTTAAATACAAAGAAATCTTTTTAAATACTAAGAAATCCTTTTATCAGTGTATACACTGATAAAAAAATTTCTTAGTATTTAAAAAGATTTCTTTGAATTTTCTTATTTAAAGAATTTATTCTCTTGACTCAAGAAAATTATTTTCTTCAAAATGGTATTCTTGGTTCAAGATTTTGACTCTTGTCAAGTTAATTTTTTTTATCAGCGTAGTAAAATATGTAAATATAAAAAAGTAATCCCAAAACACCTGTAGCGTATCAAGAGCTTTATATAAATTAAAAAATTTCGATTAAATTCATATCCGGTGAACTAAAAAGTGAATTATTCTGGTGAAAGCAGCGGGTAAGTGGGGCGAGGGTGCTTCTGATTCTAGTGTAGGAATATCGTTGGTCTGTCAGGGCCATAAGTATCTACATATATACATATATGTTAGCAAAAATATATCCAGCAAAAGCAAAGACTCTACAAGTAGGAGAGCCTCTCACTTTCGCTCTCCTACTTGATCAGAGAAAGTCTAGCCTTACCGCGGAATATAAGTTATCATCTCTTTCTCTTTCTTTATACCCAGCGGACCACCTCCTCGACCTCCTGGGTTACAGAGAACTCCTCCTTAAAGTCTCTATCTTCAGCACTTTCGATTTATCGAGAGAGTTAGCCATCTACGTCTACGATTATTCGTTACCAAGTTAACTCAACTCAGCTGAACTAAACTTATATTATTACTTATATTCTAGTGTAGCTAGCTCTACTCTCGGATCTTGGTACCCGTGTAGTTGCGCACCCATGCCTCTATACTTAGTGCCAACGTTAAGAGGTTAATGCACTCCTAGAGTCATAAGTAACTTATTTAGTTAGCTACATTTCCAACCGTGTTAATTGTACATTGTATCGCTTTACTTTTCTTTCTTTTATTTACCCAACACCTTTATTGTTGTAACTTATAACAATGTTACTATACTCTCAAATATTTCACTCATTGCCGTCCCATTCTACCCGCTATTCCCTCTTTTATTTATTCATACTCGAAATTTGACATTGAGGATAGTGAATAGCATGTATGTGTAATTTTATGGAAGCAATTATATGCGCAACCACGCGTCAAGCTGTTAAGGCATAACAATTATTATTATTATCTCCTAATGAATAATATTCGAATAACATTTATCATATGCTAACTTTTAAATAGTAATAATAATGATTATTTGTAAAAAAAAAAGTTTTGTCATTGAAAAATTTTGTTTGACAAATATTTTTTTTAATATTGTAATTTTTTAAAATTAAAATTTATCTGCACTAAAAAAAAATTTTTTGTCTTTAAACTGAGCGCATTTTTTTTAGATTGAAAAATTTAACTTCTTTGATTAAGATTATATTATTTTAATAAGATAAAATCTGATTTATTTGTCAAATATTTAGTTTTTTAAAGCAAACTTTTGTTTCTCTTTAAAAAATTTTTTATATTGTTAGTCTGAGAAAAAGTTTTTGAATTTTAAATATCAAAAATAATCGGAAAGAAAAAATATAAATTTCTGAAATAAATTTGAAACTTATATTTGATGTTAAAAAAATTTTTTGAATGAAATATAAGTTATTTTTTGTTTGAAAAAAAGTAAAAATATTAAATTTATTCATTAATATCTCAAAGTAAGAATAAAATTTTCAAGAAAATATTTTTTCTTGAATCGAGTAGTTTTTTTTAGTGTAAGATTTTATATTCTTAGATATCTAGTTAAATCCCATGGGATACTCTTTTGGCCTACTGGGAGTCTTAAGTGTCAGAAAAATAATATATTACATAAGAGATAAAAAAAAAAAGCTCCAAAAAGACTCAAGTGAAGAAATAGGCTTGAAGTCTTAATTTTTAGCGCTTTAGTTTTTTCGGCTTCTTCAAAGTTTTGGCAAATTTTTTGTCAATAGATATCGACTTAACTTCTATATAATACTCTTTCCATGACTGTTACACGATAGAAAAGTCTATTAGTGATAAAAAAGAGATCAATAAAGGTCTTAGTGCGAAAATGACTTTGTAAAGTAAAATTGATTATTAGTTGTGAAGTTAATTAATTATAAAAATATCAGAAATATGTTCCGTACACTCACAAAAAAATTATCTTGAAGAGAAAAATTTTTTAAGTATAAAAATAATTCTATTGTTTTGAATCAAGATAAAAAAATTATTTAACTAGATGAATAATTTTTAAAAATGATTTTTTTGGTTAAAGGATTGTTTTTAGGAGTAAAATTAATTTTTTTAATTAATGTAGCAATTTTTTGTGCCCGAAGTAAAGGCGTGCGATTGAAATTTCTAGTAAAAGTAATAAAATTATCGAGTATTTGTATTGAGTATTAGTGAATTACACGTAATGGTTGGCAGTCAGGGCCAACCAGCCAGTACCTTGGAGGCGCAATGATGCTAGTAAGACCTCGGCAAACACAGAGATCTTCGTCGATGACTCGAAACTCACCATCAGACAAGGTCAAAACTTTAGCCGCGAGTTGTGAGCCGCGATTAAGAAAGAGAAAGAAATAAGTTGAGCGTTTCAATGATAATTAATAATCATTGTTTTATAAAGAATTTTCACAGCATCTAAACTACACTACGCTGTCATATAAATGTATACATTAACTTCACTACGAATAAAATACGAGTACAATCTACGAACCCGGTACCACGTACTCCTATCTCCCCACAGTAGACAAAAGAATCTTTAATAGACACTCATATTTTTCCACATATGTCTACTATTTTATTCCATCTCGTGAGAAACTTTGGCCTCTTGCATTAGACACTTTATCTTTCGAGGCCAGACCTTGACTATCACTAAACGAAAATACACTTTTACACCACGGAAAAAAGTTTATAGCTACGTATACAATTCATAAAAAATTTAATTATTAGATATTACTTGCTGGTATTTATAATAAATATTATCTCCATAGTTGATAAGAGTAAAAAATTTTTTTCGATTGTATAAAAATCAATTAAAATTAAATTAAATGTCACTCACAGAAAATTGACCTTTTTTTTAATTGTACTAGTTGAAATAATCAATTTTTTTTTTATTTTTTACTCATCAATCCTAGAAAGAATAAAATGGAAAAAAATATTACGATAGTTTATTTTTAGATTTTCCACAGCTAAAAATAAAACGAACCCCACTTCTTCAAATTATTTATATTTTAGTAGAATTTTTTTAAATACAAAAAATTTTATTAAAACGGAAATTGAAAGCCTTTGATTCATAAATTGATTTTTTTTATAGAGTTAATTAATTATTTATTTATTTATTTATTAAATAAATTATAATATTAAAAAATTGTATGAAATTTTTGAATTTTTTTATAATTAATTAAAATTTAAATAAAAAATTTTCTACCAAAAAATCTGCAAAATTAAAAAAAAATTCTTGACCAATTTTTAACATATAAAAATTCTAATTTTTTATTTGTATTTTGTTTTTATTAAAGTCTAAAAATATTTAAAATTAAACCAAAAATTTTTTTAAATATATATTTTTGTGTCCAAAAGAAACCCGGACATTTTCTCGCTTGTATATTTATTTACTTGTAATAAAATCGTCAGATAAATAAATAGTTAACATTAGTGTTTAAATATACGAGATATGTTAACATTGGTACGGCCTTCCGATCGTCTAGCCTTCCGCAATTGCGCGGCAAGTGACGTTATTATACGCTCATATGTACATATAACTATCTATCTGTCTATATATATAAATATACACGAGTAAGCTGACCAGCCTTCATAGAGACACACTCCAGCTTATCTCAAATAGATTCGAGTATTTAATTTTATATTTTTATCAATATTTTTTTCATAGAAAAATTTATTTTAAAATGTTCAAACAAATTTTTATTTGTAATTAATTTGTTGATAAGTTTTTAGTGTATTTGAATGATTCAATTGCTTCGAGTAAATGAGTTATTTGCGATAAAAAAAGTGATAGTTGATGTAAACATTCTACTAATGAGGAACGTATATTACTTGGCATCAATAACATCGATTTTAACTTATCAAATATGCGAGGAACTAATAACACAAGTGTTCAGTTAATTATTTAATCGGTTACTTATCATTAAAATTAATGAATTTATGGAAAACATTTTAAAATAAAATTTTTCAATTGAATTTTGCTTTT